AAACGAAAGTAGCCAACGCGCATGCGTAGCTTCTGTTGTTAAGATACTTTTCATACCTTTTTTGAAGAGTTCCACGTGTTAGCTACGACAAAGTCTAAGTGTAATGTTACGTTTACGAGTGAGTTTACACCCTGTTGTAAAACGCCATCTATGTACACGTAAATTCATTCGTAAACTCTACGGCAAAATTTACTAGTAAAACTGCGTACAGGTCTTCTCTTATGTACATGCAAATTTCACTTCCACGACGGTTTCGGTCTTTCCTGAAGATTTTGTACCCATCTATATGAATTTCATTGTTTGTGATAGAGTTATCTAACCAGGTCTTGTTTATAGACATAATGGCTGCGTTAGATTTGGAGGCTATAAGTTGTACTTCATACGTTTTGTGAAGTAGTGATCTGATGTTGATGTGAAGAAAGTGTAGGCCTTTTCTTTTAAAACATTCAAAATGTTCATCAGGTAGTAGAGTATCTGGTTGTGGACCAGGGTAACTTTGGATCCCACTTATCAACCACAAAAATAAAATAAGTCTTTTTGGACTTTTTACACATGGTGTATGGGAATATAAATTGTTGTTACACACGTGAATGAACCAGTAATAAACTCTATGAGATCTTCAACACATCGTCGAGGTGTTCATTGCTGAGGGGAAATTCCTCTGGTATGGGAAGGTCAGGAAGAGGGGTGAGGTTTCGACCTCTAACTGGTCGCTAAAGCCTGGCAAAGCTGGCCGGATTTTGTTGCAGAAGATGTTAAGGTACCTGAATATTTCTTTATTGAAGTCCATGATCACAGGAGCCAGGTGACCTGTCTTGTGCACGGAGATCTGGATAAACATTGGAAAAGAAAACATTGTCCAGAACTTACAGAAATAAGAATCAACAATTTACAGAATTCAACATATGAAAAAAAAAAAACAACTTACGACAGCCACATGACACTCCTTTTTCTGTTCGGCATTTAAAACATGTCTCAATTTCATGTTGATAATAGCCCCAACCCTCTGACCATTACTAATGAGAAGATTTATAATTAGAAAGTTTCTTGCAAGGAGGTAGTCCGCCTCCTGAACGTCTTCCTTGTCCCCCTTCTCCAAGGCTTCGAAGAGAGCCACCGCCTCCTTATATATGTCCGATTGTTGAAAGGCTTGGATGTCAGATGGCTCAATCCTTCCCTCTGTAAGAAAGATGTTTTAAGGTCAGACGACACAGTCCTCAAAAATATATAATTTTTCCTAAGAATTTGTCATTGAAGTAGAGGTACTAAAACAAGATTCCTCACAAAAAATCAGGGTACCTTACATGTACCAGGCATTTGGCCAAAAATACCATAGGGTCATATTTCTTATATAACCCTTATGGCTAATCTTCTAAATGGCCAATAACACACTATTTGGTGTACTTATATTTAAAAATATTTTTAAAACAATTTAGAAACTAAAAGAGAAGGACAAATTTGAAGAATTTTTTATATAAAACCAAGAGATACAAAACATGTATTTGAGGAACGTGTCATCTGACCTTAACATACCTTATACATTAGTGTATAAATAATTAATCCACCCTTTTTTATTATAAGTGAAAAAAGATATCATCATCCTCTGCCCTCTTCTGGACCCTCCTTCTCTGTACGTCAATCTGAAGGGACCTGGCCCACCTCTTCAATTTTCAATGATAGTTGTACAAGTTGTGCGGTCAACTTCCCCATTGTCCACCAAACACTCAAAGAAGTTCTTGAGAGATCCTAAAGGATAATAATGATAATAAAAACATTTCTGGGTTAATTGTTTTACAAAGTAGTATAATTTCTAATAAGTTTTAACCCAATATAAGTATATGAAACTTTATCAATGTACGCCCTTATTGTGCCAGGGGCGAACTTTTGTCTGGCTGGCTGGAGCCATTGACCCCTTATCGCTGCAGTATCAGTCATTGTGTTCAGGTCTCTTAAGGTCTTCCAGACATTGAAGACCTGCTGGCAGTGTTGTTCTGCGACTTTGACTGGTCTATTTTTTTTCTTGACTCATTTGCCAATGCTTGAATTTCCTAAGTCTTTCCTCTATAAAAATTCATATACATTCTGTTAAAAAATGTTTAAAGAAAAATTGATTGAAGTTGCTTCTGGCACATGGCTTACCCTTTCTCAATTCCCCCATTTCTTCCTCCGTCTCCTGCAGGTCTTCGGGATTAGGGTCATTTCCGGATTACTAAATGTAGAAATTTATTAATGTATCATACTTTATCATTCTATAAAACAAGAAAAAAAATGTAATGGCAAATACTCCGACTTTCAATCTTCTTAGCTGTAACAACCATTTGGTGTAGCTCTTCACCTCTAACTCTCTCATGGGCATACACCTCTTAACAATTGCCCCACAGCCATGGATGGGGCACTGTTTAAGTCTAAAATATAACATAACATACAAGAGGTATTGACATTTTGTTTTGAAACCAATGCTAAAATCCATGAATACAGATAACTGAATTATCTCTAATTGCTTTCTTCTTTCTGGCAGTCTTTTGACTAATTCTGGCTACTTCCTTAGTGTAATTGTGGGCGGTAATCATTTGGCGTACAAGGTGTACAACGTGGATGCCACAATCCTCGCACTCTTTCCGGGCTCTTTTCCCGCTTGTTTGTTTTCTCGAAACCGTTCTAGGTCTCTTCTTTCTTCCTTTATCTGTTGAGGAAAAAACTTTTATTAGGTTATAATATATTTCCCATATAGGCAACTGAATTTTCAAAGCAATTCGCATATATACCCTTAGATTGCTCGATGGCCTTCCTGAAGAAACAGTTTTTGGGAAGGAGGGTTTCTGTTTTTCCTGTAAGATAACCATTGTTTTAAATGACATTGAATGCAAACAAAATTAACTATTGATTTTCCTAAAAGAGAATTGATATAATTTCTGTTTATTTTATACCGAATTCCCGGGCTTCTGTGTGATGTCAGTAGATGAATTGGCACCCTATAAATTAATAGGTAAAATACAAGTTATATAAAACAAGAGAAACCAAATCATCATATTAAATAAGAAAGCCTACATCACATCATCATCATCATCCTCTTCTTCCGGTTTGTAACCAGGGTCGTCCTACCTCTCAACTTCCTCTATTGTTCTTGGGTCCTCTTCCATTTGTTGATCATCATTATCACCATCATGATTTTGAACCTGTACATAGAATTAATAACTACAAACATTTGTTTATCTATTATAAAATTACTAATTCTTGTAAACAAATGTGAATATTTTTACCCTCTTTGAGCGCACAATCTTTCTTTTCGGCCGGTAGTTCTTGATAAGGGGGAAATGCCCTTTTATAGGTCTCATTTTAATCCTCATGATGTTTGGGTTGGGAGGGTTAACCTCGAAGCTCTTACTCTCTGCTAAATAATAAAAGATAAACATTTTATGAAGTGTTTTGTCTTAAACAAACCATTCTAGAAACAAATATATTTGGAAGAAAACGATACCTTAAAATTGGGATTAAGGGCATTTTCTTGAAGAAAAAGTCTCTTTCCTCCTCTGTTAAATTTCTTTCTGGGTTTAAAACAACCTACAAAATCTTTTGTTAATTTGTATCATTTAAAATATCTTTCAGGTATTAAAGGCGTTTATATTCATAAAAAGTCTATGTTTAAAGCTTACTTCCTCATCTTCAGAGTGGGACATTTTGTAGGCTATACTTCTTATACACTTTCTACAATGAAAAGGGACAGAAAATAAGGACACAATTAGCATTTTAGGAATTCCATTTATTCTTATGTTAACTATTTGATACGTTGGAATAATTACAACTATGCAAAACACGAGTGATGCATTAGTTTAAAAATTTTAGTGAAATCTATGTAAAGAGGTATGTTCAGACTGCAGCGGACTTCTCATTATGACGTCACAGTGCAACATTTTCGCGGATTTTCAGCTACGCAAATTAAATATGCTTCCTTAACTCCCCTGCGTGTTTACATCAAAATACAAATTAAAAAACCATAAATGCAAATTGATTTCCATGTCCATGAACACTTGTCAAAATTGCAAGAAATTGTACAAAACTGAAGAATTACTGAGTAGATACAAGGTCATTTTTCACAAATTGTCAAAAGCTTTAAAGTAATTTTCAAAAGTTCCAGAATCATAAATGTAGCAGAGAAGTTACATATATTACAGACAAGGAAGAATAAGATATTCGTCAACAATTATTGAAAGAGAAACAAGAAAGAGACAAGTAATATAGAATTGATGATGATATCAAAATATGCAGGTAAGAGTTATCTGTTATGAAATTTAAACCAATTACCCTTGACTTGCAACTTCAATTGTGTTCCGCATTGTCCATTAGTGAAGATGTATTAAATCCAACCTTCTCAAATACAAGAGATGAACAATTAGTAAAACCTGGACAAACACGTCTTATAATTGGAGATGACAACTGTTTCTTTCGGGCAATATCATATACAATAATAGGTTCAGAAGGTCATCATCTTCATCTTATGTGAACACATAAAAGATCTTGGTACAAAATTAATCTTATTAATTGGAAACATTTCTACAAATGAATATCTGAAAAATACAGATAATCAATTTGTTGAATACTTCTGGAAATTTATTCATGTTCAAGTGACGTAATGTTTAACAATGATATTAACTTTAAGTCCAATTTTCGAGAAAAATAAATAAAAACACTTTCTTTTTGTGAAACTATCGGAAAGAAATCCCTAGATTTTCCAGTCAAATTTTTCCAGGCTTTAATTAGTTTACAGATTCTCATAAAAGGGAAATCTTTTTGTTGTCATCAATGAAACGTTTATACATACATGTACGTATACATGTATAGTGTGTTGGTCAGACAAAACAGATGCTTTGATTTTTCAATTTTAACCTCTTTCATATTGAAAATTATAGTAAGGGCATCAAACAAAAGCAAAACATATTAGGCGAAGTAAGATCAACATTATATTCTGAGATAGGCTTTCTTTTAATATGTTAAATGTATCTTGCAGCTGAAAATCTTGATGACATTCTAAACCGAATCCAAGTAAGATGTTAAACTACCAGTAGTTAAAAATAACCATTCACCAGTATTCTGTCAAGATCATTTCATCTAAAAACACAAACTTTAAGACTATTAACATTGAAATCATGTATGCAATAAAGGTTTCAGTACATGAAAATCGAATGAATTTTAAACCAAGCGTTTCTACCGTTTAAATGCAGATACTTGAAAGAAAAATGCAAGAGTGTTCGTGTGGAAAACTTCCAACAGGTAAAGCTTAAAAAACATCAGTGAAAAATGAAGAACTGTCGTATTGTTGTAGTGTAAGAAAAATCATTTACGATCAATAGTATATTTAAAGTTTCCATTACGAAAAAGGTTGATTTTTTATCCCGCTTTTTAGTGGTGATTTTGTAGTTTGTTTTTAAAACTTACCTGGATTGCAAATATTTTTGACTTTGTGGTGCATTCTTGTTGAATTAGGGTATTTTACGAATATGGGTAAATTCTTGTTTCACTTTCCAGTGAACGTTACCGTTTCTCCCCCACCACTTCCGGTTGGTGACCCCCTTCGCCAGAGGTTGCTGGATGAACTGAGAATCAGTGATGGCGGTGAATGTGTCAGTTACGCTCTGCGGTACTATAGCCAATGTTCGGAGAAATGATGATCAACAGAAACATAAAATGTAATGTCTTTTATATGTTGTCAACACAAGTTTAGTTTCTAAAGATTTGTTTTTGTTTAAAATTTTGGGGTCAACAGTACCGTATTTCCCCGTTTAGACTATTCTTTGTTCGAAAGTTTTTTAAACTTTGTCTAGTAGACCTAGGCATTCACGAATGACGAATGGGTTTCCATGAAACATACAACTGGAAAAAATATAATCTAAAGGTGTCATTAATACTGAGTATATTGAAGTAGAATTGCCAACAGAAAAGCTTTTTTAATTATAATGTGCAAAGTTAATTAAATTTGTGTAATGTAATTTCAAATTAATCACTGTCAATAATTAGGTTAGGCGGTCTGCTTTCTCAGTCGTTTCGCCAAACGTCTCAGCATTTCGCTAATTGGGCGCAACTAATTGTACGTTCATATTACAGAAAACACTTTTCATGTTAACAACGACTCAAGTGAAGAGGTTGACATTTTTTAAGGATACGAGAAGAGGGTGTTCCTTTGAAAATGATGACGAAAAGGGGAATGCTCTCTTCATATGCTAGTATTTACTGTCAATATGATTCAAACATTATGTAACAAAAGACCTCAGTATGTATAATTCTCTTAATAAATTGATAAAACAGTCGTGAATCATGAAAAGAATGATTAAGATAGTAGAAATGCTCTTCCAATGTAAAGCTCACACACGCGTTTTGTTCACCCACCAATTCACGAAGAAGTGCCAGAAAACAGTGACCAGCTGAGCTCAAGGCATTAATCTCAGTGTATGGAGTTTGTATTAGTTTTGACAATGTTTCAAATAGCATGTCGGTTTGCATCGAAATTACATCTGATTTTATTTTGCTGAATACTTTTTATGTTGAAATAATCCAGATATTTAACCAGAAAATTGTGTTTATTTCAGATCAGACACTGAAATCTAAACTGAATCCTCAGAGGGTAAGAGCGAGCAGTGACAAGGCGGGATCTTTACACCTATCAGATCGTACGGACGATAACTTGATCACAATGACATGTTACACATTCAGCCTCAGCGTGGAGTGATGGAGAGATGGTTTCCTATATATTTCTATGTAAAACTTTGATTCCCTATAATCGGGAGGTCCCGTACTTTCACAGGTACAGGTAAGTAATATACATACTGTACATGTATATAATTATGTGAATATAGGGAACAAAACTCCGGGGAAGTTTTAATTCTCTTTTATTGCATTAATTAAGCAAAACAAAACAATAGAAATTGTGATACTTAGACATGCAAAACAAGACGCAAGTAATTGTAATACTGCGAAATCTGCAAATACCATTTGTTTACTTTATTCCCCAACAAATGGTTTTCATCAAAGAAAGCGGCCACTTATCGCTTCCGTTTTGCCGCAGGAGCTACAGTGATGCACGTGTAGATTTTATATATTAATTGAGGTCAGCTGATGAAGGTCGATAATTTGTTTTGCTTTTGTTTTTTAACGCCCATCCATTAATGTTTTATTGTTTATTAATGGTTGAATCACTTCTTGGTATAAAAAAAGGCATTAAAAAGAAAAGTATTTAATAAAATCCTGATTTTAAGACGTTGCCAGATTTATTAGTTTTCCTTATTAAAACATCTGTTTTATTAAATCTTTGAAGATCAAGACGGTCTATGACATCATGCAGTTCTCTCTATTGCTGTTACGAAGAAATGGTGATTTTAAGAAGGCTCTATCTATATGACCCGTAAGTGAAGTAAAGAAACCCAAAGGATACTTTTCCTATATATTTCTATGTCAATACACACCCTCCCTCGTACCCTTCTTCCACACGTCCACAAACAAAAAAATATAGTTTTGTTAAGCTATAGGTCATTTGTCTGTCTGTGTAACTGTATGTCTGTCATTCAATACCATACCTGGGAATTTATTCATTTGAAGTTTCTCAACATATTTTCTTTATTTAGATTTATTTAAACGAGATCGTAGGAATTGACAGGTTAAGTCTGTCTTAAAGCTAAAAACATTTAGTACACAGAGTAAGATTTTAATTTTAAATAAATTTTGAAGTTTGGACAATCCTCTTTTTTCTATTTTCCACATCAAAGATTTTTTATGTAGTTGTCAAATATTTTCTTTTGTCGTCCCCCACTCCTTCCCATTTTCTAAACGATTCTGTGTTCTTGCACTAAAAGTTATCCAAAACAGAAGAAAAATGCATAATATCTCTGTCATAGAAAATTCATCAGTATTACCAGATTTATGTGTATATTTCAATACTGAGAAAAAGATGATGGATGACCTTGTGTTTTAAACAGACGGAGAGGAAAATGTGGTTGGATCACTAAGAATTTGACCTACTACGTCCCAATGTACGATCAGCGATGTTCTGTCATAGCAGGTTAGCATTAGTAAACTGTAGCTTCCGATTATGAAAACTATCTAAGAAATTTCAATGTTTTATCGCTCTCCTTCAGCAGTTCCATGGCGCTTTTGTAACCCCTCAGGTCAGATGACACATGCAACAACCATATAAAGTCAAATTTTATCATCCTCTTGTGATTTATTAACAGTCCCCAGAATATCTGAGTCAAATCAAAAAAATATTATATTAGCCATTCATTTTTAGCTCTACTGGTCAGAGACCAGAAGAGTTTATGCAATAGAAAGGTGTCCGTCGTCAGGCCTTCTGTCTAGCTGTCATTCCGTCATTCCGTCTTAAACAGTATGCTTCTTCTACAGTTATGGTTTGATTTCAATATAACATGGCACAATAAGTAGACTAAACTAAGATACTTTTACTGTGTAACGATTTTTGATATCAATGAACCATGTTGCCATGATTACTAAAAATAGAAATTTCTGTGAAAGTCTTCAAAACGCTACTCCTCCTACAGTTTCGATCTGATGTATACAATGACAATGACAATGAATTTATTCTCATAAACTGACATAAGTACAGTGTTGAAAGATTACAAGTATAGTTAAATATATGTATATATACGCTACGGAAGCCCTGGAGGGACATTGACTTACTTGTTATGACTTATTTGTTATAACTTGTTAATTTGTTGTGACTTAATTGTTATGAATAATTTGTTGCTAGTTAAAACTAAGCGTCATGTAGCTATGTTAAACGTGTAGTTTTGCTTAAAATGATATGTTTAGATCTATTTTAAGGATGACGTTTACTCAGGTTTCAAAAAACAGAAAGGAAATTTTATAAAGTATAATATGTTAAATCAAAAATTGTTCTAAATGGATAAATTAAGCAAGTTTTAAATCAAAATCAATTTAAAATTTTAATATTTTATCATTTAAAGAAAATATGCAGGAACAAAAGTCAATGTATGGTAATGCAGAGGAAATTCGGACTAATTTTTTAATTTTTTTTATTTTTGTCAATTTTTTTTTTAATTTCTTGCCATGTTAATCACAAAGTAAAGGTTACAGGTTTTTTTAAACATCATTTTGCAAATATTATATGCGTTAAAGCTCATAAATTAATTCAAATAATTGAAAGCTGTGAAATAAAGAAATTCAAATATATGTACAAAAACCATTCCAGACAACATATCTCAATAATTTGATCATTGACCCCATATAATATTAATACCATAAAAATTAGGGCAAAAAAAGTAATCTGAGGCTATAAATAATTTAGAGTTCTTATCAGTAAGATTGTTGTAATATTCGATTAAAGATGTGGGGAAAATGTAAATAAGACAGAGGAAATTCGGACTGTAATAATTATTACATTTATGTCTTAAACTCTAATGATTTCTTAATATGAAGCAATGCTGTTCGATTGCTATAATATTTCATTATTTAAAGAGTTTACTTGCTTGTAATATTTTGTATGTAAAGAAAAAAATTGTCATAGTGTGAAAAATTGAGGTACATGTATTTCCCTAGAAATACTCAGGGGCCACTAGCATGAAAAACATGAATTCCAAGTAATTTTTCATGTTAAACACTCTCAATGAAATTTGTAAATTTAAATTCTGGTTCGTCACTTTTGATCGTCTTTGATGTGTGTCTATCAACATCCATTTTGTGTTGGGTCATCCGCAAATAAGTCAATGCTTGATTTCTTTATGAATAAAGGGAGATCATTGATGTAGAACAAGAAAAGAAGTGGACATAAAATTGATCCCAGTGGCACTCCCGCTCTGACTAACTTTTTTTCAGATAATATATTTCCATGTTGAACACACTGAAATCTACAGTTTGAGGACAGATGATACAACGGAAGCCCATTTAGGAACTATCAAAAATATTTTTTAAATTTGATAGAACGAATTGTTGAACTTGTTTTAACAAATTTAATTCGTTATAACAATTTCTTTGAACTCGTCATAATGAGTTTAATCTGTTATAACAAATTTGTTAAATTTGTTAAATGAGGACATTTAAATGTGGAATGAAGTTTCTAGATAAATTATGGAATCAAAATTTCTTGACATTATACAAATCCACACATTAATTTGAAGTGGGGGGGGGGGAGAAATTTTCTTGAATAATAGGCAAAACTCTTTGGGATAAAATAATGGAATATGTTCTAAATACCAGCATGGGTTGACGAAACTATGTAAAACAGTTTAAGAGGAGTGGTGCTGACAAACTGTTCATCTCTATATTTAAAATATGGCCAAAAAGTCTAAGTTGGAAAGTGTGGAAATTCCCAGAAAAATAGAAGAATCGGAATTTCCTGGTAATATGCATATATACACATTGTGTTCTAAAAGCCTGCATAGTTTGACGAAATTCTGTGCAGCGGTTTATGAAGAGTTGCGCTGACAAACTGTTCATCTCTATATTCAAGGTATGGCCAAATACCTAAGTTAAAAAGTGCGGAAATTCCCGGAAAAAATAATGGAATCGGAATTTCCTGGTAATATGCACATTTACACATTGTGTCCTAAATACCTGCATAGTTTGATGAAATTCTGTGCAGCGGTTTATGAGGAGTTGCGCTGACAAACTGTTCATCTCTATATTCAAGGTATGGCCAAATGCCTAAGTTAAAAGTGCGGAAATTCCCGGAAAAAATAACGGATACGGAATTTCCTGGTGATATGCACATCTACACATTGTGTCCTAAATACCTGCAAAGTTTGACGAAATTCTGTGCAGCGGTTTATGAGGAGTTGCGCTGAAAAAAAAGAGGACTGACTGACGGACTGACTGACGGACCAGTCAAAAACATTATACCTCCCGCAACTAGTTGCGTGGGGTATAATTATTCATGGTATAAAAATGAAGACTTTCACTATTGTAGTTTTCTCACTATAAAATCATAGTCGGCCCCCCTAAATGAGTAAAACGAATAACTTTCACTGCGTAGTTTTTATTTTTTCATTCAAATATGCACAAAAATGGAATTTAAAGTGAATAAAAATATTTGTATAGATTAATAAGGATGGTTTCGAAGAGCAGATCTTTGAACAACACAGATGGTGACATTTTTTTTTTTATATTCTAGAAATTACGGAAGCGTATTAGTCACAGGATGAAAAGCCAGGTTTCCCAAATTTGGAAACCCGATGGAAACATATGGGAATAGTGACATCAGTAGTTTCCATATAGTTTCCATTTTATGGAAACCACATAGTGGTTTCCACATAGATTCCCAACATGGAAACAATCAACCTGTGGTTTCCTGTAAGTTTTCCAAGATAGGAAACCGTGGAAGCATGCCTCAGTGGTTTCCATGTAGATTCCCGACATGGAAACAATCAACCTGTTGTTTCCTGTAAGTTTCCCAAGATAGGAAACCAGGGAAACATGCCTCAGTGGTTTCCATATAGTTTCCCGACATGGAAACCATCAGTCTGTAGTTTCTCCCACGTTTCCCAGGTAGGGAAACTTTGAAATTATATCTCATACTAATTTCCAACTACATGTACTTTTTATTTTGCAAAAAGTTAAATATTTTCTGAAGATGCCACATTTTTTTCCGATTCAACATTCTTCTTGGAAGACCACCACTTACAATATTGTCAGCAGAAAAAGAAATCCAGTTTAGAAAACTGAATTACGTACACACCGTCTCCTCTTGTGCACTCCACAATAGACAATGCAATCTCAGATCTGTAAATGGATAACCCCCCACCGTCCCCACTCCCTACTTGGATGGCTATCCTTTTCATAAAATAGTGTATCATATGTGTTATATTTTCTGCTTTTTTCCGTTTTGTGTATTTTTGTTCTATTTCTTTTTATTACTTACAATATGTATTCCTTTTTTTCTCACATTGTGATTGAGTTATAATTTATATGCCATTGTCATGTCAAAAATCTCTGTAACAGAGGAAATAAAAGATGAATGAATGAATGAATGATCTCTTTAAACAGTTAAAATAACTTTAAGTGTATTTCTATGTGATAAAATTTCATATTTCATGACCGTGAACGCAAATTAATTTTAAATTGGATTTATCACATTAGTCGTGGTGAACTCGTGTAGGATGCTTGAATTGGAATAAAGAAAAGTGCAATTATATAGAAATCAATCCTAAAGAGAGGAGTTGCGATTACTGATTAAAAGACAATATATAGAAGAGTAGGACTTAGTATAGTTACATAGAAATAAATATAAACTGGTTAGAAAAAATCTATAATCGAGTGAGGTGGGGGACTGTATTATAATGCTAGTGATTTACTATCGTAAATATTGTTTATGATAATGATAATTTTTTTTAGTTTTCTTATTTATTTATTTTTATTTTTTTTCACCCCCCCCCTTCCCAAAAAGCATATTCGAAAACGTTGGTACGGCCTGTGTAACTACGGGCAACTGTCCTCACGTGCCACATCAGGTGGAGACACGTGCTGCAAAGACGCCTGGGGACAGGAGACACCTGTCACTGTGTATTTTTTGTATATTCTATGTGATTTGAGAGGGTTTTCTACCTACAGGAAACAATGGGCTGGTGCCAATCATGTACACACACAGTCTCTGCAGACTTGTCTAAAATTAAGATGATGATTTGTGTTTTTTTATAATCATTAAAAATTATTGTATAGTAATCGTAAGTTATACAAGAAAACATAATTAAGTCATAAAATAACCTACATTTATTTTAAGAAGTTCAATGAAAGAACAAACTATTTAGAATTTCGATTTCAATGTTTATTACTGATTTGAAATAAAACTATCCTGTTTGAAAATTAAATAATTTTCTATAGGTATAGAATAAATATAAATCGTGTATAATTATATTAAATCATAATCACTTTATAGATTAATGACATGGTATTTAATAGTCTTGATGTTTTGTGTAAAATTTGTAATCCAACAACATAGACATCTGTAAAATAATGTTTAAAATATTCATATAAAAAACGTTGTTTTTTTTGTTTTTTTGAATTTAAATTTGTTCGCAGATCCCTGTGTGGTAAACGTCTG